TTAAAGAAAGGATACATTAGAGAAAGTCATTCTAAAATTGTATTACTAGTATTCTTTGTAGGCAAAAAGGATTCAGGAGCAAGGATGGTTATAGACTACAGGAAATTAAATCAGATTGCAGAACCTGATCCATTTCCTATACCTATAATGTACACACTACTAGATTATTTAAAGGAAGCAAAATGGTTTACAACTCTTAACCTTAAAAGTGGATATAACAACATTAGGATAAAACAAGGACAAGAATACTTACAAGCCTTTAGAACACATAAAGGATTGTATGAACTACTAGTAATGTAATTTAGAATGATGAATACACTAGTAGTATTTCAGAGAGCTATAAATCAACTCTTTGAAGAATTAATAGGTAAAGGGATAGTAATATATTTAGATGATATTATTATCTATACTCAAACACAAAAAGAGCTATTAGAGCTAACTAAAAAGGTGCTACAATTATTAAGGAAAGTAGACTTTTATTGTAAACTAGAAAAGTGCTTCTTTAATAAACAGGAATTAGACTACTTAGGTTTTGTAGTCAATTAAGATAGACTAAAAGCAGATCCTTACAAGATAAAAGCTATATTAGAATGGTCTAGACTTCTAACAAAGAGAGACATTAGAAAAATACTAGGATTCTTTAATTTCTACAAGACATTTGTAGAAGACTATTCTGGAAAAGTAAAACCATTATCAAGTTTACTATTACAGAAAAGAACTTTTACATAGGGAGACACTCAAGAAGTCTCTTTTAGAGTTATAAAAGAAGTATTTGCTAAGGTACCAGTATTAGCAAGGCCAAACTATGAAAAACAGTTTGTAGTAGAAACTGATACATTAGACTTTGTATGCTCAGCAATACTATCACAGGAACAAGAAGATAAAGAATTACATCCTATAGCTTATTATTCTTCAACTTTTAGTAAACAGGAAAGAAATTATGTAGTACCAGATAAGGAACTATATGCTATTATAAAAGTATTAGCAAACTGGAGACATTATTTGGAAGGAGCCAAACATCAAATTAGAATAATAACTAACTAATCTAATTTGAAAACCTTTCAAAACAAAAAGCAGTTAAATAGAAGACAAGCAAGATGAGTACTAGAACTAAGCAGATACAACTTCAAAATAGAATACAGAGCAGGTAAGAAAAATAGAGTAGATACACTCTCTAGAAGACCTGACTATAAGCTAGAAGAAAAGGATAATCAGGAAGTTGTATTACTCCCTCAGGAAATGTTCAAAGAGTCAGAAATACATATTAAAACAATGACAGTAGAAGAAACTACAGAAACAGACTCAGGAACTAATTATAGTAATAAAATACTGTTACTAAGAGAAGGTAAACAGGAAGAAAAAGTCAGAATTGTTCAACAATATTATAATAGTGTTATAGCTGGACATCCAGGACTCAGAAAAACTTTGGAATTAGTAAAGAGAACATATTATTGGCCAGGAATAACTAACTGGATAAAAGAATATGTAGATACTTGTGTAATATGTTAAAAGACAAAACACAAGAGAGGAAAAACACAACCACTATTACAACCATTAAAAATTCTAACAGGACCTTAGGAACATGTTACAGCAGATTTTATAACAGGACTACCAATTACACAAACTGGTAAAGATACAGTACTAATAAATATAGACAGATTTTCAAAGATGGGAATCTTTATTCCTTGTAAAAAGGAAATAGATTCTAAAGAAACAGCAAAGTTATTTATACAACATGTTTTCTCAAAACATAGATTACCTTTAAAAATAACTACAGATAGAGGACCACAGTTTACTAGTAACTTTACTAAACAAATATGTGTACAACTAGGTATTAAACAAGTATTATTAACTGCTTACCATCCAGAAACAGATGGACAAACAGAGAGAGTAAATCAGGAGTTAGAATAGTATCTAAGGTGTTATGTTAATTAAGACAAGAAGATTAGGAGGAGTTTATCCTAACAGCAGAATTTGCTTATAATAATAAGCAGCATTCTGCTACCAAACATACACCCTTTTACCTAATATATGGAAGGCATCCTAACATAACTTTTAACTATAGAAAGTCAAATGTGGAAGAAGCAAACAAATACCTAGAAGAGATAAAGATAGTACAAGCAAATGCTAAGGAAGTAATAGAGAAATCATAGGAACAAATGAAAAAGTATACTGACAAACACAGAGGAAATCTTCTAGAATTAAAGGAAGGAGATTTAGTTTTACTAGATAGTAAAAACTTAAATCTAGCAGTACCAACTAGAAAGTTGGCAAATAGGTACATAAGACCATTTGAAATAGAAAAACAAATGAGGGTAGTAAATTACAAATTAAAACTACTAGAAGGGATGAATATTCATCCAGTTTTCTACTCAGGATTATTAATACCTTATAAAGAAAAGGAATATTCAGGAAGACAAGTGTATACTAATCCAGACCCAGAGTTAATTAATAAGGAATAGGAATACACAGTAGAAAACATACTAGATAGTAGGAAGAGGAGGAACAAATATCAATATTTGATCAAATGGTTAGACTATCCAGATATAGATAATACTTAGGAACCATTTGGAAAAGGATTAACCAATTCAGCAAAGTTAATCAGGGATTTTCATATAAATCACTCAACAGTAGTAAAGCCACCACACCTAGAAAACTGGTTAACAAAGAGACTAGAGTATGGTTTACTAATAAGTAAAAGAATACTAATTAAGGAACAGGATACAGGAGACATAGTCCTACAAGAAGAGTAAATGTAGAAAGACTGGATGAAAAGGAAATCAGTGTCTTTAGAATACTTTAGTATTCTAGCTTCAGATTCAAGTACAAAAGAAATTAGAGAAGGGTTGGAAAAACTTCAGCTAAACAACAAACCTACTACAGAAAACCAACCTCTAATAACAAAAAGGAGACAAACTAGTAATTACAAGAGATGGCAACCTTAGAAAAAGAGAAACAATACTTGGGACACAGATGAATCTGAAGAAGACAATAGTACATACTATATAAAAACATTATAATTAGAAGAGGAACACACTAATTGTGAGGAAGAGTATAGTAAGATGAAGGAACACAATACTATATTAAGAGATTCTATTATACAACAACTTGAAAGACAATAAGAAATACAACCACAATTCACTCAAGAAGATATAAACAATATTATGGATCCAGATAAGATACTAAGAGCTCTTATTGAACAAATAAGACAGAAATACATAATACAGTATGAAGAAGTAGAAACAGTCAACAAACTATGAGTCAGAAGAACATGAGAAATAATTATGAGTGGTTACTTTTTAAAAGCAAAAAGTGAAGAAGACAAGAACTTCTTGAGAGAAACTATCAAAAAGGGAGTCACTCCTATAGGAGGAGATAATAGACTCTAGATAGAGTAAAAAGGTATAATAGAAGAGGGTCCTGAATAAGACATTAAACTATTCCTATAATAGATCTTGAACAATAAGAATATTATAGTATTTGGGTCCTGAATATGACATTAAACTATTTGTATAATGAATCTAAGAGAAAAGAGATTGTTATAGTAAGGTAGCTCTTAATTGAGTAAGTTAAGTCCTGAATAAGACATTAAACTATTCCTACAATAGGGAAAATTGTAGCATAGTAGCTCTTAACTGAGTGAGTAATGTTCTGAACAAGACATTAAACTATTCTTATAACAAATCTGAAGTACTAGATTGTTATAACAACATGATTTGAGTAAATCAGAAAATTACTCCTAATACAAGGATAAAAAGGGTATTAGTATATTATATGTCTCCTCTACATTCACAAGGACATATAATAAGGTGCTCCATACACACCTTCTGAATAGAAGTAAAACTAAAAGGGGTAGCTAAACTGGAAACCACAAACAAGAGGGAATAACTTCCTACTAGTTAAATTTAGTCTTTAGAGTGTACTATTTTAGTCAGAGAGTCTAAATACTAGTCAAACTAGAGCTAGCTAGTGAAGAACTGGGAGGCAGAGAACACATCAGTCTATATTGTAGACTAACACTGAAAGCAGAATTATAGCAACTAAGGTAAAGGTAGAAGCCCTTTTAATAAGTTAACTAGTTACAACTGTTAAAAGGAAAACTATACTCACAAGTATGGCTCTTACTTTTCAGCCATAAAAGTAGGCTATAAAAATTAGCCAAAATGAAAGGAAAAGGCATTTATATTCACTTTAATACAGAATACAAAAGAGGCAGACTATAAAGGAAAAAGTATCTAAAGGAAAAGATACTAGTACAGGACATACAAAACAAAGGAAACAGAAAAGGGGGGAAGGACACAAATCCTACCCAAAATTAAATCCTAGCCCTATTAATTATAAAGTACGTATTTTACAATAGTAGTAATACTGTTTAAGAAAGTATTACTTAGGAGGGACTAGATGTTAGGAATTGTAAAATACAGTAACTAAGTTTGGAAAAGCTTAACTCAAGACTTGGAACTAAGTAGTTTATATACAAAACTCTATTAGTTACAAGTCTAGAGATTGTCCAGATTAACTAGGCTACCTTTGTTGTCCTGCTTAGTAAGAACTCTAGCTCAGCATTATTAACCTCTAATCATTACTAATGGGTAATCAATCCATTAGAGAGTGTTTGGATACATGATCTTGTATGATCAAACAAGATTATTCCTTCTGAAAGGAGAAGGAGATGATCTTGTATGATCATAATTTACATTTGAGATAGAGGTGGGTGTTTGGCCACCTCTATCTACATTCTTAATCTTGTTCTGTGATTACAATATGCCTGCCAAAAACAAGATACAGCTCTGAGCTGTATCTCATTTTGAGATTACACACTCTAAAGATGAGACTGTATATACTACATCAACAGTACCTCTTGTCTCACCCTCACTTGTCCACCCTAGTCATCCTCTACACATCTCTGAAGACGTTTATTTACTCTCTACACAACACACTAGTGATTAGCAAGTGTTCTCATGCCAGAAGACACTGCTTCCTAGACAGCTGATTAAGAGGCCCTTCTGATTCAGATACTGAAGAAGGCAAAGGACAATGGCCTCCAGGCTGAGAGTGGTTGGAAGCCTGTTGTCTGGTCTTTAGCTGTTAAGGCCCTTACTAGTACAGAGAGTGAGAGTGGTAGAGTTAGGAAGGAGGTGAAGTATGTTAGGTCTCAGTTTTACAGAGTATGTCTTTACAAGTTGAGCTTATTAACATATGATTTCTCATACAATCTCTACAGCTCAAAAGTGTATACTAGAAGGTGAAGAAGATTAGAGGGTCATTTGGCTTTGGTTAGGACCCAGTCCAGCATTTGGCAACTGCTCTAGCAAATGTATGAGAGACATATTTTGTAGTACACTAACTTCTTAGTCTTATCTTCTTCCTTCTTTACTAATATTTGTTCCTAGTCACACAAAAATGCTAAACTATAGTACAAGAAGAGCTTTCCTCTTTATAAGGAAATGGCAGAGCTTGTAGAAGGGATTGTAGCTGATAGAAGGAGTGCATTCCAGCCTAGCCAGAATACACAGACTTTGAGCATGCCTAGTCTACAGGCTGCCAGCTCTAGTTCTCTCACAAGTAACAAGACTTCTTCTGTCTCAGCTGTGCCAAAGAGTTTAGAAGATATCTCTGACTTTGAGTCAGACACTAGTAGAGACAACACTCAGTACACTGAGACTCTCCCTACAGTGAGTCCCTTTCACACTTAGTCTACACATTACAGACTTAGTCTACACATTACAGACTTAGTCTACACATTACAGACTATATTAACATGCTTTCTAGACTTCTAGTACTACTTCTAAGTATGTAGTATTCTTAGAGCCAGAGGTTACAGCTATAAAGAAGAGGCCTTGAACTTTAGGAGCCAACACAATAATAAGCCTCAGTGAGTCAATTGAAACAGTAGTGGACACAGTCACTTTTGCTTCTTCTACAAGGAATACAACAGCCTAAACACCTACCAAAACAACTTCCTGGATTCTAGAGACATCTCTACAATGTAGGACAGCTACTATTTGAGCAATTGAGGTGGATGAGGAATTGTCTGACAATAATATGGTAGATGTAGCAGAAATGATATGTAAGCACACTAGTATTGCTAATACTTATCTTGCTTTGCAAAATAAGGATTACTGTACTACTTATTTGCAGAAATCCCTTGCTAGGTACAAAGGCATGTAAATTAGTTTTATTTTGTAATATCTTGACTACTTTCCCTCTGAATTCAATATGTTGATCTGTTCATGAAGATGCAGATCACAGAAAACCTTTAATATGTTTCTTAGACCAGTAGTATTTATCAACAAGATTAACCAGGAAATACACTCTTTACTCTATAGTCCTCAGTTCCAGGAACACTGAACAAGAAAATCCAGTTACTCAGTATGTAAAGTGAGAACAAATTGTGTCTCAGGAAGGGATTCACAAACAGTGCCAGTCTATCTGTGTGTTTTCCTACAAACAGCCACACAATCACAACTGTATTCCTACACAGCCCAGAAAACCACTAGTGCTCTTTGTAATATATTAGAGTAGAGCACTAGCAACCTCTTTGTGACTTACAAAAACCACCCAAACTGTTGTTCAAAGCCTTGTCCAACTGTGTTTTCTTGTAATGTCCACATCTTAACAGGTGTAGGCTTGTCATTCAATACATAACACTCAATACAACAGTAGTATACATCAGTTTGAAGAGACTGTACATGAAACACTCAATAGATAACTGTTACACCTCTCTAAGATGCCTCTTGTATTACACTATCACAATCCTCTAGTCAACTACATGAGCAAGAACACAATATGACACTGCCTTCTCCTTCTGCTGTGACACATCCTCATTCACATTCGTTTCTACCCTTTCATTCTTGTCACTTGCAAATTGTTCTCACTCACATGTTACATTCCTTCACTCTTCTCCCCTCCTTCAGCATTCTTGCTTATACCCTTTCCACATGTCCTCTACAATTCAATCATGTAGGTTCTCTGCTACAGCTTGTTGTGTAGCTCCTCCTGTAGCTTGTTGTATGCTAGTCTTAGACCCTATATCCTTGTCACTTTCTTCCTACTCATGCACCTCTGTAGAATCATAAATATGTATGATGTTGTGGACTACACATAGGGCTTGTACCAGAGCTGCTTGAGTTTTGATAGAGTACTCTGGTGTAGTAGCAAAAATTCGAAACCATGCTTTGAAAACACCAAATATTCTTTCCACAACATTCCTGGCTGTAGTATGATACAGATTAAACAGTTCCTTTACATCTAAGAGTTTATAAATTTAAATTTAAATGTATTGAAGGTTTCATGAGTTAGATAAATACATACCTATTCTTTACAGCAGCCCATTCTCTCAAATGATAATGTACTCCTCTGTATAGTACAAGTACTAATGTACTGACTGGAAAGCCAGCATTACTAAGATAATACTTGCTATCTAGAACTAGGAAGCCTTGTTGCCTAGTACTGTCTAAGACTGTACTATCAGATGCACTTCCCTCCCATCCACTAAGAACATACAGAAACTTCATGTCAAATGATACAACAGCCAGAACATTCTGAGATATAAATCCCTTCCTGTTCCTGTATCTAGGCTGTTGATCAGAAAGGACAGAAGCATATATATAAGTTCCATTAAGGGCTCTAAGACAGTCCTTGAAATAAGGGTACCATTTTGGGTTTGTTTGTATTTCTACAGGAGTAGGAGCTCCCTCTCTAGGAAGCTTGATAAATGTATAGTATATACTGGGTGAATTCAACATATTAATGATCCTGTGGAAACACCTATAATAAAAAGTATGAATAAGTGTAAATAGACTGACTTAAATTACTTACTTGGAAACTGTATCTGCACTTCTTTGAAACCTTTCCTGAACCCTTCTGTTTGTGTTCCCAGTAGCAGCCATGTACAGAAAGATAGCTAACTGCTCATCAGTTTTCATATATCTTGTTTCACAAAGTCCACCCTTCTTCTCTAATATATTCAGAAGCTTGTTAAAAACATGCTTCCTCATTCTAAATGCTCTCTAGAAGCATGCTGAGTGACCATTTTGAAGTTCTGCTACCCATTCAGTACTAGAAAGTTTGGACTCATTAAGAGGCTCCTTCACATAATAATGAGCAAGAGATTGTACAGCTTTAGCAGTAGTAAGACAGTATAGTAGAGTAACAGTATTAACCAAATCCTGGTGGTTAGAGAAAGTACTCATAGTAGTGGACAACAGTATAGGAGGGATGTCTTAGAAAATGTACAGAAATTCAATTAAAATATTCATTTTATTTGGAATTTACACCAGAGTATACATTGAGATCATACAACTATTCAGTACACTCTATAATCTTGTGAAATCATACAGTTGACCTGTTTGGCACACTCTATCATTTTTTAATATTATAATCTGCACACTTTACAGATCATGATTCAGGGAAATCATGTCCCTGTGTAATCTTGTATCCAAACACCCTCTTAGTAGAGAGAGGGGACAGGAAGGAGTAGGTACTAAGTCAGTTAGGAAAAGGTAACAAAACCTAAGGACTAGGTCTTTATCTCTCTAAGGTTAAACACATACTCTAGCACAGTATTACTTAATAACCTCAACCAAAGACAAGTCATTTAGAATGCTTGTATAGAGAGGGGATCTGGAAAGAGTATAGTGTTCAGAGGAAGAAGTATAAAGGAAAAGACTAAGAGAAAACCTGAAGAAATAAAAGGAAAATAATTATACTTACTTGAGGAGAAACTATATAACTAGCTAGGAACTCTTTGTACAAAGACAAAGGACTATCAAAGCTAGTAAAGAGCTAGAGCCAATACTCTAAAGCTTTATACTTGAGGAGTACTAGTACTAGTAAAGGAAAGGGAACTAAGAGCTCTAAGGAGAGACTACAGGAAAGTAGTCTCCTTTATACACTTTACTCATATAGATGGGAAAGTAATAAAGTTATAAACATGAGGACTACATAAGG